CTGTTTTTCCACTGTTGTACAAACACAATTCCAGCAGCTGCTAACATGTGTAAAATTAAATATACATTATAATCCCTTTCAAACAGCCAACAAAATATTTCTGGTTTTAATTCCATATCTTGCTTTACGATTGCTTCTAACCACTAACTCCTGAATAGCTACTTGGACCGACCTAAGTACTAATTCATAATTTCATATCCAGTCACATGGGCGGCAAGCCACTCCCATCCAGTCACATGGGCAGCAAACCATTCCCATCAGGTCACATGGGTGGCAAGCCACTCCCACAAAGGAGGCCACACCCACAGAGTAGGTTCCAACAATTTTTGAAACCCACCACTGAGCAGGATGCACAAAAACCATAGCAGTTGCAGTGGCTAAGACCTGCAGAGGGACCCTTTAATTTAGAATCCTCCCTTCTTCCCTTCAGATCTTATTTGGATCTCCCTTGACTGCAAAAGGAAGAAGCATTGGGTTCCCACTTCTGATACTAAGCTTGCCCATCATAGGGCAAGCACACCAGCATTTGCCCAAGAAAGCCAAACATAAATATAAGAGGAACAAAAACTCACTCGAAACTGGCCACCATCTCCATCATCAAGCTCCAAGATGTATCCCTCCACTGGGTTGTGGCTAAAGGGTGGCATCCGCCAGGCAAGTGTCACACTGTTGTTTCGAGTACAGCATTTCTCCAACTGTAGGAGTGGCACTGGGGGTACTGAAAGAGGAACTGAGCACAGATTAGTGCAACTCTGCCCTTACCTTTCGGGCTGGGCATATAGTGAGCCACACAACATTCACGTCACAAGAAAAGCATAACTGACCCTCTTAGACTACCCAACTTGCAGTCTGAAATGGCAATCCTGACACCCACAATCTCATCACGACTACCTCAAAATTTCCCTTAAACTAATGTGGAAAGAGTTGAGCAATCAAACATTGAGAAAGTCACCATTGTGCCATCTTGCAAAGGTCATCTCTGCATATGATGACTCAGCTAGCTCAGTGTTTCTTGACAACATTAAGGTGTGATTTCAATACTCTAAAGAATACTGGGAGGTGACTCCACACATCTAAAAATTGTCAAGGTTGAGAAACACTGAGCTAGACAATAGTTTTGGTTTACGTTCAGTGCTGTTCTTTAAGTAGTCAACCTGTCAGTGGATTTAATGGGCCTGGGAATGGGAGCTGCGTTTCTTGAGAAGCTGCTCTGCAATGCAGCCCAATGCAATTCACCCAGTCAGGATGGAGAAGCAATGTGATTGCAATGTGTGTGCCATATCAAGGCCTTGTACAACAATTGCAGTGTTCAGAAGAGGCTTCTTGTACTTTCCCCAATATTTTCTATGGGTGAAGAGGGTCTTTGTTTGGTCATTTGCAAAATCCATGGAGCAACTGCTGTGAGGGAAAGCTTATTTTTGCAAAAGTTCCATTGCTTGGTTTCATTTTTAAAGCTTCTTGAAAATTGCACAGGTGCAATGATCTGCTAAAAACTCAAAATCTCTTATTTTATCCTTTGGGCCCGTGATGTCAGGTAATCTCTCTATGAACTCATATTAAAATTATTCTCCCTGTGCACTAAATTTTAGCGAATTTCCCTTTTCCTGTATCAGGTTCCCTGCAGTAGCTATTAAGTTTTTAAAAATGGAAAGGGGAAAAAAAAGAACAGTAACACATTTAACATCATTTTTAGTAAATCATTGTAAGCACATTAATTTCTGAGCAATTCTAAAATGAATTGCTGTTCCATATGATCTATGTCACATAGTATTGTTAGGAGTGGATGATTATGATTCTTAGATCATAAGAGTTGTTCTTAAGCACACATGCAAATGGCTTTTCTTCAATTTTGGCCTGAGATTTAATTTTGTTTATGACTGAAACTGCTATATATTATTAGCAAACTTCCTACTTTTCCTATTCACCTACATTTCTCAGTGCCAAGGGAATTGTAATCTTTATCACATACCTTGTCCTTTGTTAATATTCTTGAAACCTTCTATAAAGCTATGCACAACTCTGCAACTAACTGATGTATATTTTTAATTGCACAGTTGTCCATAGCTGTACATAACAGAAAGCAGATATTGAAAACATTAAGCATTTTTTTCAGGTTACTGACATTTTAAGAGCCAGGTCTGAGAAGGCTGGGAATTCAGGAAATGTGCTAGTTTCCTGCTGTTTTCCCAGCTGCAAACAGACCCACACAAAGAAAAATGAGCAGAAAAATTGCCAGTACATTTCTGGTGGTTAATTATTTTCACACTGATCCAACGAGAGCCTATCAACTGTCCGTTCAGAAAACTCTTGTACAATTAAAGCACAAAAGCTAGAAAAACATCACAGTGCAGAAAATGGGCTCTTATGTCATAAGTAGATGCTTTGGAGTCTACATCTATCAATTCCAAAACTGCTTGGTCCTTGCCAAGAGATTAGGGGATTTGTTACCCAAAACACCTAGAAGCATTAGTTTGTCTACCCCTATCATGCTGCCTAAGAACATGAGTAAACATGATGCTCTTCATATGTAATTGGTTGGTATTTATTGTTGTATTTGATATGCTTTTCTACAAAGGAAAGCTTTTGAGAAAATTATAACTTAGTTAGCAGTTTTTTACTTTTAAAAAGTATATTAGTTCCTAATTGACGCTTTCTACCAGGAAATAGAAAGGTATCAAATATTAACTAACATATCCAGCATTGATTGAGATTCTTACTTGTGCTTCTTAGAATCACAGAAAGAGAAATGGAAATTATTCAGCCTCTAAATAAAAGTGACTTTCATCTAGAGAACTGAGCCCTAGCTCTTGGTCTATACAACTCTCCCTTTCACAGCCATTCTTTGCAATCGCATACAAAAGGGAAGGAAAATCAGCCTACAAAAGCTCACCCCTACATTTCATCTGAATGAAGTCCAGCTGATGGATTGACTGCAGTAACGGTTCACTATCCAATGTTAGATCGAATTCAGCAGATACTTTTGGTTCCAGCGCTCCTTTGACCCATTGCTCCTGAGATACTTGAACACGTTTGATTAAAGCATCTGAAATCTGAACAAAGAACACTTTTTTGCAGACTAGACAAAGCTATTGAAGAACCAGTTCATCTACTGGAAGGCAAGGGTTTGTGATCCCAATCACTCAGGGAGGCAGGTGAGTCAATTTTCAGAGATTTAGGTCTGAAGACTTTTAAGGTAAAAGTAAAGGTTCCCCTCGGACATATGTGCTAGTCGTTCCCGACTCTAGGGGATGGTGCTCATCTCCGTTTCAAAGCCAAAGAGCCAGCGCTGTCTGAAGACGTCTCAATGGTCATGTGGTCGGCATGACTAAATACCGAAGGCCCACAGAATGCTGTTACCTTCTCACCAAAGATGGTCCCTATTTTTCTACTTGCATTTTTACATGCTTTCCAACTGCTAGGTTGACAGAAGCTGGGGCAAGTAACGGGAGCTCACTCTGTTACGTGGCGCTAGGGATTTGAACCACCGAACTGCCGACTTTTCTGATTGACAAGCTCAGAGTCTTAGTCATTGAGCCATGGGCGTCCCTTGAAGACTTTTAAATTAAGTAGCAAATATTTTCAGCTAGCTTCTGAAAGTGGAATGCATAGTCAACACTAATATGTCATTATATAAACAAATCAATTTTAAATGAGGCTTACAAGAATCTATCTTTCTCCATCTTGGTCACTAAACTGGATGGAATAAGCCATATAAAAATATATGAGGC